AAAGTGAGAGAGAAAAGAGGGGAGAGATAGCATAGATATTTTTCTTGTGGTTTTATCTGCTTTTTTTCCATTAATATCACCATTTCTGAATGCTGTTGTCACAAACTGCCTTTCTGAAGAAGAAATACATGAATTGAAATATGATTCGCACATTGTCGCTTTTTGTTGTTTCTCTTATTAAACACTTTCTGATAAAAGAAGCTAAATTGATAACATGATGTTACTACTGCCAACAAAGACGTGCACTTGGCCTAACTCCTCTAGCGGCTGATTTAAACAAAGACCTTCTCTTATGAAGCATCAAAAGCTATTAGGCTGCTAACAGAGCCCCCTTGTGGAGAATTTGAAGTCTGCAAATGTGAGTGAGTTCACTGAGCTGCTACACTCTAAAAACAGTCAGGATTCTCTGAACAGCTGTTTCTATTTGTGTTTGCACTCAGACTACCAACACAAATATATAAATATATTTTTGTTTTCACTATAGACCTACAAAGACAGATAAATATATATATTTAATTCCTTTAAAAGCTCTTAGGATGATGCAGGTTTGTAGTGAGAATAGTCATCATAGTCATCAGTCAATCAGTTTTACAGTACTTCAGTGCTTTTTGCTTTTTAAGCTGTGCACGTTTGTGTTTTATAATTGGAGGCTTAGCTGTAGTTTTGGCTTATTAGCTCATCTGAGTCAGCCTCCACTATGATACTTTTCTCCTGTGGTTTTCTTTTCACAGGCCTAGTGGCCATATTTTTCCCTATAAGTCTGTTATCAGATAAACCAGGACTCTGTTATCGCTCTATATGTGTAATGTTGTGACTCTGTGGTAAGCTGCTAGTGAGCAATAAGTGGTGAAAGGGGAAGAGTGAGAACCCCCTGTTATGAAAACAATTCAAAACAACTAGCATTTTATGGCTACTGAGAAAAGTGATTGAATATCCACTCATGAACCCTTATGGGTACCAAAGTTAGGCACAATGCACATTCCTGTCCTAATACACCTGATTAGGCTTTAAAGTAGTGAGTTATTGGAAACTAACAAAAAAAAACTTGTAATCCACACATTTTGGAAAGCTAAGTGTCCCCAAATGGACACTATCTATCTCTCTCTGTCTCACACACACTGTGTCCAGCAGCGGTGGCGAGGGCAAGGTCAGTGTGAGCAGAGTGTGTCAGTTGGCATTGTGTCAGAGTGAGCGACGATACACCACTTTAACACACTCCACACACTTAGACAATAGAGCTAACGGTGTGTATGCGTGTGTCTGCTTCTTTGACACATGGCTGATTAATTGATAGTGTTGATTGAATATCAACACTAACTATGAACAAATTTTTAAATAAAATGCAAAATAAACTACACTATAAAGTGTTTATGAATTCTTTAAAATGAGCTATAGTCTAGGACATAAACACTTTAAAAATGATTCATGAGCCGTTATAACACATTAATAAAAAGTGAGCTGTTATATCTGATGAATATGAATATGTGATGAAGATGATGAGCTTAATGCTGACTAATGAAGAAGACAAAGTAAGATCAGTAAACATCAAAATCTGAGGTTAAAGTATAAATTAATGATGGTCACTGTTAAGCAAACAACAGGTCACTTTTGTCCTTTTTATATGTGTTGTAACTGCTTATTAATGATTTTAAGGTCTTTATGACCTAATTAATAACCATTAGTAAACTCATTCTAAGAGCAGTCTTATTTTAAAGTGGTACCAAATAAACACTTTACTTATAACAGACAGTAATACAGCATATATTCCATCAATTTGTCATTGATTTCTGTAAAATTCAATTAGTTGTACACAAAGTCAGTGGTTTGATGTGAAATACTTCACTGTAGAGAAAATTCCAGACTCTGATTTCTTTACAGTGGTGGTGATAGGAGCCAGGGGTTCCAACATCCCAGTGATGGTGGTGATATGAACCAGGGGTTTGATGTCTATAACATAAATTATTTACTGTCTAAAACCACCAGTTAACCTACGAGTTTTGCCTTTCAACAGTCTGCATCTACCTCATTGCTATGAATAGTTCTGGACCATAACCTTCTCAAAATCATCATAAAACAGTGTCTCAGCGTATTCATAACCATTTCATAAATAAATAACTTTCTTTGATATAGTTTTTAGAGGCATTAAACTCTTCAGACATCTGGTTCCTGTCACCACCACTGAGAACGATTCTGACTTGGTAAATTTCTCTAGAATCACACTAATTACATAGTGCTTTTTACAATTGGAGTTGTCCCAAAGCAGCTTTGCAGAAAAATCCAGATCTAAGCCACCATGACCGTTGCCAATGGCAACAGTGGCAAGGAAAAAGTCCCTAAGACCAAGAGGGAGAAACCTTGAGAGGAACCAAGACTCAAAAAGGGAACTCATCCTCCTCTGTTCGACACCGGGCAGCAAACAATAACAGCAGAGAAAGAGATCTGGCTGTTAGTATAAGACACGAAAAGGGGGAAAGCAGGAGAAGCATGTCTATGATTACATGCAGCATCTGTCATCCAGTGTACATCAGCTTCTGTAATGAAGTCTGTAAATTCTTCACCCACCCCCTTCGCCCCCCTTGCGGAGTGGGTTTTCAAGTGCGACCTTCAAGCCCTGACCCAACTCTGGGGAAAATGGATTTTCAGCGGACGTCTGCCCGCTCTGAGCTATTGAGCTATTTTTAGCTCTGATATACTGTAACTGTCCACTCAGCTCATGAAACTGTCCTGTTTAGACGCTCCTGCTTCTTTATCCTTGACCGGTCGTGTTGTTGCTGACGGTTGAGCAGGAAAAGATCTGATCCTCTACTGTCAAATCCCAGAGTAGCATCCTACGCTTGTTCCAGTTACTCGAAGACATTTCATTTAAAGGGTCTTGTCAAAAACAGTTGGACTTCTTTTTACATGACCATTTTTCAGCCTCTCTTATTTCTTAGAATTAAACAGGCTGTATTTTTCACTGTGCCTTCAAGACTGATATATGTGAATGATCTGACTGGCTGCTCTATATCAGCCTTTTCGTAAAGCACTCTAGACTGAAACAGAGCAAACTGTTCAATTTAGACTGAAATTCTCAGTCTTTCCATTTGTGGGTGTGAATCCCTCGGAAGACTTCAGTGATCCATTTGCTTCCCAACAGCCTGAAAAACTGTTTAATCACTTTCCTACGTCTTCTGCTCTTTTGAACAGGGATTCCAAACCTGTGAACAGCGATTCCAAACATTTGAATGATGATTTCAAATTTCGAACACAGATTCCAAACTTAGAAACAATTTTTCCATAATTTTGAAAATGATTTAAATCTTTTAAACACTGATTTCAAACTTTTGAACACTGACATCGTCTTTTAAATGATACCAAATTAAGTCGATTAGTGATTAGTGTAAATTAAGTGTAAGTTAAAGACTGTTTCACTGTTTATCTGCTTCTGTTCAAACTGTTTGAACACATCTGAGCTGACTGAGTGCAAAGGAGGCAAACGGTGTTTGTACATGTTTTTTTAAGTGTTTTTGGCCAAAATTTCAGTCTTTTTCCTTTTTGGCTGAAAACTGAAAGTGTCACATTTGACCATTTTTACCTCTTATTTTCAGTGGCAAAAAATGTCAGTGCATCTCTAGTAGGGTGTCATGATATTGAGCAGAAGGCATGAAAAACCCTTGACCGGTCACCGGTCCATAACAGTAATTCCTAGTATTTTTTTATTTGTTTATTAGTGGGTATAATGTATGTATTGTGTATATGTAGCGCCAGATAAATGGCTTTATCTGTGACTTGCTCTGACGTGTTAGACAGTACTTTCAGTGGTCACTGGGATCCAACTGTAACTCTGTGCAGGTCACTGAGTCCTAGCCAAACCCAAATGCAAAGTGTACATTAAGAGTAGCCTTCCTGCTCTAATCTGCATGAAATAATCACTGTGGGGTTTTATTGATGGGGCTTTCCTGGACTGTTTCCTGGACTCTGATTGGACAATATGTGTGTGTGGTTAACATTTGTCTTTGTAAAGTGCATACTGGGGACTGCATGGTGAGATACTTCATCCAAAGGCTTTTTGACTAATTGAAATGCAGATTAAAAATGACTGTATACATTACAGCCACTCAGCACAGGCCAAACATCTCTGACTATAGAAAATATTGTGTATGTGTGTAAGAGAAGTACTCGTGTGTGTGTGTGTGTGTGTGTGTGTGTGTGTGTGTGTGGGTGTGTGTACTTTATACTCATTTGTGTGTGAAGATTTCATTCGGGGCCTGATTAATTAAAGCATAAGTGATGCTAATTGGGATGCACGGTGTAGCAGATGGTGGAGTTGGAACGAAAACCATGAAAGTCAGAGCTGAATCACAGCGGACCAGATAAACCGCAGTGAACTTCGCTGATGCCAACAGCTAACAACAAGATACAGTACTGTACAAAAGGCAGAGACCAACACTTTATTCTATTTCTAGTCAAAATGGTCAGTCATTAAGTGCAAATCATTCATTTTTTAACATCAGGCAAAAAAGCATACGTTTAACTGAAAGTTACACCAAGGTCTCAACAGCTAAATGTCAAATTTATCAGTATTTATTGTGTCACTCTTTACCTTTTTTACAGCTTCCGTTCTTTTCAGAAGACACACTTTCAGTTTTTCAAAGAAATCTGCAGCCTTACCTCCAAAGTTCAGTCATAGAAGTTAGTTTAGCATTTTCGCTTCCCACCATACAAGTAATCACATTCACTGATGTTGAGGTCTGGACTCTGGGGTGGTCAGTTGAGATTCCAAGTGTAGTCTGCCCAGAGGGGAAACACAAGGACACCCGCTGATGCGGGAAAAATCTCGAATTACTGGCCCATTGTTGGTGATATTTATTGGCCGATATAATAAGCTGACCGATATGGGGGTCATATATGTCTGTATTTTTTAACTGTATGTATTAGCTTCATTGATATTAAGATGATGTCCAGCTGCTTTGACACAGCTGAGTAACTGTGTTTGTATGTGTGTTGGTGTGTTTGTGCAGATCATAGCATACCAGCCATACGGGCGCTCTGTGGACTGGTGGGCATATGGTGTACTGCTGTACGAGATGCTGGCTGGACAGGTGAGTCCATCTTTATACACCGTCTTTGACCTCACAACTATTTGATTGCGACACTTCTTTAATGATTATTTAGAATCCAATCCATCATATTAACAGAATGACTTTTTTTCCTGTAAAACATTGACACAACCATGCTGTAAACATGTCATGGCAGATGTTATGTGCTGCCATGAGATATCGTGACAGAGTATGTTCAGTAATGTATTTTGTTCTGGTTCATGTTACCATAACTGCTGATTGTCATAACAGATGTCATAATGTTTGATGTCATAACAGCTGATGTCACATGCTAACTTTTGCTGTGTGCTCTCGTTAGCCATTATGATATCCAACATTATGACATCTGCCATGACAGTTAACGGTAATGCTAACATGGCACTGTTACTGAACAGAATCTGTCATGACAACTCATGACTGCGTGTCATCAGCCATGGCATGTTTATGGTGTGGTTATGACAGTGTTATGTAGAGGCGCTCAAAGTGTAACTGTAAATTTTGTTTTTTGAGTTTTTATGTTTGAAAATATTTTTTGCCCCCCCCAAAAATTTAATAAATAAATAAAATATTTCAACCCCATCTACCTCATAATTTCCATACAGGACAAACATATCAGTAAACAAAGCATTTCTATTTACCGCTGGACGCAATTGAGGCAATTTCCGAAAACGCTGTTCATTTTTCCCATAGAGAAAACCAGCTAAGAGCGAGAGTTCCCAATGTGGGTGTGATACAGAATAATGCAAAACGTCAAAGGTCTCTTCTGGCCACCGTTTACTCTCTGTTGTTTTATGACATCAGAACATTTCAAACTGTTTATATGCTTCATACCACTCCTCCACCCCTCCCCTCCACCCATACCCCCAACCCTAAGGTCTATATCTGTGCATTTCAAGTCTTCTATCTTTAGATACAGTTCATTTCAGACAGTTCAGTAAACCCTATTGAATATTTTTTCACTCTCATTATGTATTTTCAGCTCTATCCTAATCAATAGCTTTTCATTGATTGCTTCCGTAAATATACCAGCCAGAATCTGATGCAGCCAGTGAGTTTGGGTATTTTTAGAATAAATAGTGCTCTAAGTAATATCCTTTTCACTGGAGTCAGCATTGTGGCTATGGAGACACCTAATATAGTCTTACTACCATCCTAAAGGGCTTTTTTCATTCATCATCCAGATCAGGATTAGAAAAAGGATGGAGAAATATCTAAAATTAATGTGCTGTTTTCTTTAAATTCGGGATTTTTGGTTTTGTGTTATTGTTAAAAGGCTAATTGGGGTTTTAGAGGATTTTCCACCGCAGAGTTGAGTGTGTTGGCTCTAGGCTACTCCGTTGTGAGCTGTTGTTGTTGTTGTTGTTTGTCAGGCTGCCTGTGCTTTTCTCGTCTCAGCACCCTCATAATTTAGCCTCATGCAGCTTTTGCTGGGGTGACCTGTAATCCCACAGAGGTCGTTCTGAGGCTTTCTGCCAAGCACGGCCTGAAATGAAAGGAAGCACAGTGCTTTTGTTTGTTACAGCCAAACAAGACACGGGATGTTTCTCGGTGTATTGCTGGTAACTGCTGGGTTAATTGAAATTAGAAATTTGCAGTAACACAGAGCAGAAAGGCAGGTAACTCAGCAGTCAGACTTAGAGATGTTATTGCTAGATAAGATTTTCAGATGCTATTGTTGGATTAGAGCTTTAACTTTGACAAGTTCTTGACTTAACTTAATGTTTGAAATGCCAATTGAAATCTTATTGTTAGCAAAAGGCTTTGAGGTGTTATTACTAGCTGAACGTTTAAGATGATATTGCTAGTTAAATGTTTAATATGTTATAGTTAACTATACGTTTGAGATGTTAGTGCTAACTAAAACATTAAGATGTTGAAAAAGGACCATTTTAATGGTCTGTGGAATTGGTCCTTTTTCAACGGGGCAGTCAGAGGTTTGATACTGCTGTCTGGAAATGAGATATTATTGCTAGCTACGAGTTTAAGATGTTATTGTTAGCTAAGAGTCTGAAATGTTACTGTTAGCTGAGGGTTGCAGATATTATTTCTACTTAAGAGTTTGAGATGTTATTGCTAGCTAAGAGTTTGAGGTGTTATTATTAGCAGAGAGTTTGAGATATTACTGCTAGCTGAAAGTTTGAGATGTTATTGTTAGATGGAGTTATGACATTACTGAAGTTTGAGAAGAGACCACACCTAAAACTCCTCCTTCTCAAATCCAGCTTCCTATAAATACCAGTCCTTCACTCCTCCTTCTTGTGACCCACAGGAGCTGTACTGAACTCCAGCCCAAAATTGCTCAGAGTTCCCCTCCTCTGTTATGTCATTTACCAAGGCGTGGTCTGCATTCGCAAACTGAAAGTTTGACATTATTGGTAACTAAGAGTTTGGGATGTTATTGTTAGCTGAGTGTTTGAGATATTATTGCTAGCTAAGCATTTTAGATGTTATTACTAGCTGACAGTTGATCTTGTGATTGCTAGTTAAAACCCAGATAGTGAGAGAATAGTGGACCACTAATATCAAAGCTGGCAGCCTAACAGCTTTTTGCTCTGCATTTTCCATGCAGCCCACAAGTGGTTGAGTGGAGTGTTAGACAAAATGCCACTTTTCGTCACTAATTTTGTACCAATTTTTTCCTTCATTTGTTTCTTTTTTTACCCTTTGTAAATTAGTTTATTAAATACTAACAGTATTTAGTAGTAATAGTAATATCAGAAATAAAGCAGATTATACAGCTGTAATCAATCCAGCACGGCGTCTGCAACGCTTTTTAAAGGCAAATTTAAGAAGATTTATTTAGGGTTAAGAGTTAGGGGTTAAGGGTTGAGGATCCACTGAACAGCTTCAGAAAACTGTGCTATGTATGAAATAGCAATTGATCAAAGCTGATGTCAGATTATGTTTTGAATGTTAAGTGTTAAATATTGAATGTAAGCCAGTATTTCTGTTTTATTGATTTATTTATATTGTGGATCTTTTTGTCCCTCCACAGCCACCGTTTGACGGTGAAGATGAGGATGAGCTGTTCCAGTCCATCATGGAGCACAACGTGTCCTACCCCAAAGCCTTGTCCAAAGAGGCTGTGTCCATCTGTAAAGGGGTGAGTTTATTGTATGTGTGTGTTTAGAGAGCTGGCTGTAATGGCCAGGTCACTTTTCTGTGCTATAATTTGCTGGAAAAATGTACAAACGTGAGAGCATTTGAATTCAAAGGAAAAGCATCACGTGTGATGGTGTCGTGGGAGATAGGGTGGGGGCGTGGGGGTGAGGGCGTGGGGGTGTAGCACATGGTCAGGTTGTTTTTGTGTTGAGAAAACTATTTACAACATCAGAGTCTCTCCACCCACAGAGTGCTCTGTATGTGGTCAGATGGGCAATAACAAGCTTATTTTCTCCGCAGTTGTACAGCATGCGTAAGGCTCGTTGACCCACTTTAGGGACGAATGAGAGTATCTCTCTGTAGCCTTGGGTTTGACCTCAGTCAGAGCATTGTTCTCCCTACATACAGGCATCGCAGGTGAAATTGTCATTACATAGAAGATATTAATTTTAATGTCCCGATCACCATAGATCAGGGGTCGCACCCCAAATGTTAACAAAAGCCATTTTGCCCTTTCAATAAAAATCTAACCACTTTGGGAGCCACAACATTTTAAGTCCTTTTTACCATCTACCATTTACCATGTACTAGTATAGGCAAAAAAATAGAAATGAAAACACAGACTTACTTTGCTCTTCTTTAAGCTTTAGGTCAGCTGTAGCCTCTTTTCTCGCATCTTTGGCAGGAAACTTTTCCTCAAAAGTAGAATAGTTTCTTGTAAAATGGCTAAGGTCAGCTTCTCATTCGCCAGGTTCTTGATCGAATTGTCCCGTTCCACCTTAAATGGTGAACTATTTAAGTGCAGCAGTTACATTAAAGACCATTTATTGTTAAAACTGTGTTAAAATGATCAGCAGAGCTTTATTTTACTGCAAAGGAGGATTATCTATTTTTTTCTAAAAATCTCATTCTGCTGTGGAGCCACAACAGAGCAGTAAAAGAGCCGCATGTTGCCGACCCCACCATAGATAGTAATTGTCAATTATGATAACAAAAACAGGCTGTAACATGAATTATGTCTCACTTGTAGCTCATTGTAAAAAGCAGAGAAATTCTGAAGATATTTTAAACTTTCCATTCCCACCACATTTATGGTGTTAAATATGTGTGGTATCTAGGCCAGATATCAGATACAGCTTGCATTACTGTGATAAATAATATGTAAGTGTAATGTTGTATTCTCTTTTACTGTTCAAACTGTGCATTGTGGCAGGGCATTAATAAAATATTGCTAAAATAAACTCCCCATTGTCTCTGTTAAGTGCTACATGCCTGAGAAATATCTGAGAAAACTATCAGCAGCTTTAGTGTGCTGATGGTTCTGATCATTTGTGAAATTATGAAAACATAATGCTTAGTTTACCAGACATGTATAACTGAATTCCAGAGCAACTCCACTATAACTACAGTTAGTTTTTTGTAGATGTAAAGCACATTAAGCACATTAATTTACACAAATGAAAAGCACATTAGTCGTGCATGTTTAGTAGTCTGAAGTTTCTCCACAAGAGGGAGCTCTTAGCTCTTAGAGTATTTTTGTTTGAATTGCATCTAGAATCATAAAAATGTTGAAACTCAACAGAAATACGTTTATTTTCTGCATGTTTTGGAAAGTACAGTTTAACGCCAGTGAACATGAATTGTTACATTCGCTTGCATCAAATTGTGTTTGCCAAAAGTTTGCAGCTTTAATGCCTAACTCCGCCCACAATCGGCACAACCATGTTTTCATATATCACTAAAAAATAAAAATCTAGCTAGAATATTTAATTTCCCTTTATATTATTGACAACATTTACACAAATGGTGCATGTTCTCTGAGATCGCAATGGGTCATGCAGTTCTGAGGCCCTATTTTTCTTGAAAACTACTTTGCTCTAAACTCAGCACCAAATATCTGTTCTTCTAGAATCCTTGCATTCATGAAATTCATGGATGCTCATTCCGAAGCATATTCTAAAGAATATTGTGGAAGAATTTCCTAATTTACTGTTGCTAGATTTTTACTTCAGAATGTCCTGAGAGACATTTTATAATCAACAGCACTGAGTTTTAGTTAGTTTTTTTTTTTTTAATTAACAATATAACAATGATAATGTCTGTCATTTGTATCATCACAATGAAATAAACATGTTTTAGTGCAAAAATTATATGAAGCTAATTAAGTAAATACTGTTTCTTTTGCATATCAAATGTATAAACATACTTATTTGTAAGAATATTAATAATCAACTGGCAAAGATTAATAGTAGTATTTGGAGTTTTACTAATGGGCCCTACTCACCTGCAGTGTCTGACCTTAAATAGCATGGCAAAATGACAATAATGGTTATAATAATCTCATTATAATTCTTGCAAATTAGCCCATATATACGCACAGATGCACACAGACGATCAGTATAGGGACGAGCTATAGGGATCAACATAATGAAAGGCTTAAAAGCTTAAATGCACCTTTATCCTTTATCCATCAGTATTAACACACACACACACACACACACACACTGTCACTGCTGTAGGCTGCATATTAAACCTGCTTGCTGTTCGTTTCTGAATGAATTCTCTGCCAGGAGCTGATCCAATTTAGATAAAAACAGACACTGCTCTGCCTTTTAATAATGAACTTATCAGTCAGTCTTCATGACTTGGCATCGCTGGTGGTCACCATCATCACTGCAGGCCAGACAGGCGACATGAGACGAAATGATAATGCAGTTGATCAGTCAAGACATGGTTGGTGTCTGAAGTTTCCTTCTTTTGTTTTGTACTAAAGCTACCAAGTAATAGGCTACTGGCTTGTTAGTAATTAGCATTAGCATTAGCTAGCTGCATGTACACTTGCCTCAAACTGTGTGGAGCTATTAAATAATCTCTAATAGACTTGCTTCTGTGGTTTCTGACACTGATTGTCAGCTAAGAAAATAATCTGTCTAAAGCATGGACAGAATTTAGGCCTCAGTTTGGCTGCTGTTGCTGCTCTGTCTTCAGCTGTGCTGCAAAGTTCTGTCCACAGTGAATCATACAATGTCAGAACCCACATAAGCAGAGAGTACTCAGTGTGACTTGTGTGATGATGTAGTCATGCAGTTTGTCTGATGCTAATTGTGCTGACCGTTAACGCTACAACACAAGTAGAAGTTCTAGTAAAAGTGCTTTTGTTTATAAATGGTGAAGCGTGTGTGTATTGATCTGCTGGGACAGTAAAGACATCTAACAGATATAGTCTGATAAATGCTTTCTGCTTCGGTTCCATAATGCAGTTCAGGTTTGCTGATCATACCACGTTGCGCACGTTCAAAAACAGATTTCGCAGTATTTGGTGTGTTCCCCCCTTTTGCTTAAATTACAGTGTGTGTTGGAGCTGGCATGACTCCATAAGTTTGTGCAAAAGCCTCTAATAGGCAGATCAAATCCTCCAGACAGTCGTCTGAACACACGTTTCAATTAGAAGAAATAAGACTGAAAAAAATCTGACCTTTATGTATAAAGACCTTAACATGGTCAATTTCACAGATAGGCTTAAATTTGAGTAGTAAACTAGAAATAGTGTAAAATTTTGAATATATCTTGTTTCTTTAATTTTTCAAGATTCTAAAATTGTCTATTGTTTATTTCCAGGTTTAAATAAAAAAAAAAAGATAAATATATACATAGAAACATTCTTCACTTTCAATGTGAGTTAATAGAAAGAGATTGTATTACAAGCAGTTTTGGAGCATTTCTATTGGTCAAGTCCTCAGGAATTTTTCACATAATGCAAAACGTCTGCTATGCTCAAATGATGCAGATACATGTATTTCTTTGGACAGCGATGACATGTGTATATGTGTGTATATATATATATAAATATATATATATATATATATATATACATATATATACTCACACACATATGACAGCCTGAAAAATTCCATCCTGTGGCTTAGTGTCTTTGAGCTGATGACACATTGACCCTCCACACCTCCTTCATCACCCCTTTTTCCACCCCCCATCACACAAGAAATCTCTCTTTTACTTTTCTCCTGTCACCCTCTCCATTACAGCAAATCAGTTCTTCACCGGTCACTCTCTTCCTCTCTATTTCTTTACCTTCTCTCTTTTCTAACTCTCCTTCTCTCTTTTCCTCTTTCCCTTTTTCTCTTACTCCCACTTTCCCTCTCTTTTCCTTTTCATTCTAAATCCTTTTCCTGCTATCCATCTTGCTTTTTCCCTCTTTCCTATCTACCTCTCTCTGTCACTGTCCCTCACTCACTGAGGTGCCAGTAGGTTCATCTGTGTTCATTTATTAGGAGCTGTTGAGGCAGTTTGTGTGTGTGTGGTTAATGGATATATAGAGGCTGTCAGAAAGCTGACCCAGAAAAGAGAGAGAGAGAGAGTACGTAAGAACCCCTACTCTGAAATGTATTGACTTTACTTCACATTGTAATTCTTATTGATGTTGAGAGTCGGTGTTCTGCCCTTTCTGCTCTGTAAGTAAGAACTTTTTCAATCATCTAAATTTGACCAAACTCATTTGCATTTGAAATAAAAGCTAAGAACTAAGTGGTTCATTTGCACTAATATCTTCAGTTTTGACCACAGTTTATAAATAACTGAATACATAAATAACAGAGTTCTTGTAGCTCCTTTTGAAGTTAAAATTAATTTTACCCACTTAAAAGTCTTATCTTCCAGATGCATTAAATTCTAGACTGAGGCCGAAAAACATCAGCTTTGTGTTTATTTAAACTCGGAATAGTCTGAAATGCCAAAAATTATCCAGACAGCAGTCCTTTCTTCCAAAACTGACCACTAGTGAGCAACTAGACAACACAGAACCTTTGCAGAAGCAAAACAGCATACATTATTCATAAAGCTCAAAGTGCACAGATTTTTAACCAGTGTTTAAATATAATTCAAACATTAAATGGTTGGCGCCGGTCAGAGCGTCTGGGAATTCAGTTTGCTGGACAATCGGGTACAATTACGGTCACACATTGGTCGTTGAGTTGAATTGTATGTTTGTGTCCATTGTTGTGAAAAACATAGAACCATAAATAAATAAACAAGTAAATAAATGGTGTTAGTTGACCTTAGTTGAGCAGGAACGCTATGACTGATTGGTCGACGCAGAGGAGACAGACCTACTTCACTGAGCTGAGAACTGTTCCAACAGGATGAAATAATAAATAAAAAATCGATACATGAAGCTTCAGTTGGACCACAGGTGTTCTCACCTGGGCAGGAAAGTCATCCAGTTGACTACAAGACACACGTGTGAGGGGGCTTTTTACAAGTGTGTGTCCATCAGGGGTTTTCAGAGAAAGAGACTTTTTAAAGGTCCAAAAAAACACTTTCACCTGACAGCTCTCTGTTCGTGGAACGGACCGTCCCTTGAGACTCACAACTCACAAGTGTCAAAGAACTCACACACTCACACTGTGTTTGTGTGTGTGTGTGTGTGTGTGTTGTCCTGACTGTGCAGTAAAACAGTTCTAAGCTACACAACCAACAAAATTCTCTTGACTTTGTAAAGTGCTCCATGTTTCATTATTTAAAACTGAAAAAAATTAGCAAAATGACTAATATTTGGTCACCGGGGTTCAAGTGTCTAATTTTAGACAGTTCTTTTTATATGTAGATACTGAATTGCTGAATTTATTATTTTGGGGAAAAGAAACAAAACATGAATTGTGGCCTGTGCAAATTTTAGGGCACTTTTTGTATTTTATGTTTTATTTTATCCATTGTGTTAAACTCAGTAAATAAATAGAAATTGTTCAATAAGATTTGCAAAAAAAAAAACGGCACATTTAAGCGTGTCTCTGTAGAGGATGTGTAACATACTTTCACTTAGAGAATCAACAAAGCGTGTAGCGGGGGTGTTCACACTTCTGCGTATGACTGTCTATGTGTATGTGTGAGTTTAAAAAAACAGCCTTTTATTTTATTTATTTATTATTTATTTTGTTATTTACTTCACAGAATTTGTAAATGTTAGGTACCTTTTGCTACAGAAGTCCAGGGAGGCCATGAGCTCTTGCTATAATTCTCTCAGTTATATCTATCTCGATTATTATCTCAAGATAATTAACTCATTATCTCAAGATAACAACTTTTATTATCTGAAGATAACAAGATAAATAACTTGTTATTTGAAGATAACAGCTTGGTTATCTTGAGATAGCAAAATAATTCACTTTTTACCTCAAAATAACTCAAATTAGAGCTACCTCATGGCCTCTCTGGACTTCCATAATTTACACTACACACTTAAAAAATTGTTCTTCAAGGGTTCTTTACTAAAAGCAATCATTCTATTTAGAGCTATGAGTTCTGTTTAGAACCATTTTCATGCTTAAAGGGTTCTTTGCATTGTGAAATAGTTCTTCGAACTGATGGAGACTGTGTTTTATGGTTCTTTTAAGAAATGGTTCTGCATAGCACCAAAATGGACATCGCGATAATAGAAGAACCCATTTTGGTGCTATGTAGAACCATTTTCTAAAAGAACCATAAAACACATTCTCCATCAATTCGAAGAACCATTTCAGCATGCAAGTGATTCAATATAGAGCTCATGGCTATAAGTAGAATGATTGGCTTTACTAAAAAACCTGTGTAAATATTCAATACAATATCATTTAATTTAGAAAAAATCTTATTTTTTTATTAATCTTAAGATTATTTTTTCTTAATCTTAGAAAGTTACCATTTATTATATATATATATATATATATATATATATATATATATATATATATATGTAATATTGTATGTTTCATCCATAGGTACTTACATATGACCTCACATCCCAACATTCTATAAAAACGTGTATGTGTGTGTGTGTGTGTGTGTGTGTGTGTAAAGCTCACTTTGTGCTGTGAAGTTTCTCTTTTATGTATCAGGTATCAGTTTTTCTCTCCATCTGCTCTTTTTCATCTGAAGTTGAGTCTGAGCCTTTTTTCTCTCTGATGGTTTCTATACAGCTCTGATGGAGCCGTCAGCCACGTCCACTAATTTATTAAACAGAGCTGCTGTCTGTTACTTAATTCATTACTGGGATAAAAATAGGGGTTTTAGGAATTTAAGAGCCGAGAAGCACTCCTGCCCCCCAAAAAAGTTCAGACAGCTGAAGGATTTATCTATTTTATTTTTAAAGTTGTTCCTAGTGAGTCATATAAGTCATTGGTGCATTGGGGGAAACATTTCGTGATTCTTTCATGGTCATTTCCATTTCCAGTTTCTTTACAATTTGGCTACTAATGCAAATTCTTGGTCGTTTTATAAAATATTTTCTGTTCCAATCAAGTCTTTTTTATTTAATATGTCAAAACTGCATATAAATACGTGGATGGAAAGCCAGCTAGTTACCCCACTGTTGTGCCTGTGTGGTCATTCAGTCTGTTTCTTGTTGTGCTCTGGTGGAGAGTTTCATTTTCAGCTCGCTCTGTTAAACAGTGAACCCCATGCAGCCTGAGAAAATAGCTGTGAATTATCTGAGCTCAGAGCCGCTGGACTGGACTAACAGTAATATCATCACTGAGAGTGCCACCCTACAAACAGAGCCCTCGCCAGATACCTTACATACTCTCTAAACCTCTCTCTACCCCTCCTCTCTCTCTCCCTCTCAATCTCTCTTTCTCAGTTTCTCTCTCTCTCTATCTCTCTCCCTATATATATCAGTCTTTCTTTCTCTCCCTGTGTACCGTGTTGATGAGATCTGTTCTCTATAACACTGTGTGAAATTGTTCATCTCTCAAACACTAGTGTGTGTATTATGATGAAAAATGGAACATTACTGCATACACACACACAGACACACAGACACACAGCCCTGTGGTACATTTGTGCCGCTGTGAATTGGTCTGTGTCTGCATGTGTGTGTGTTGATGGAGCAGGAAGGAATCTGTATTCTGAAAGAGACAATGGGACTGTGTTCAAAAGTTGCAGTTTTAGTGCCCAAGTTCTATATTTGTTTAATATAAGTTTAACACATTGGAAAAAAAAAATAAAACTACATTTAAAAATTAAAACATATTTTAAACTATATATATATATATATCGCTGCTGTCAGAACAAAACCCCATATCTCAATTTTCGTTGTTTTTCAGTTTTTGGCGTAATTTGGAGTTCCCTCTTGCCCTTTACATTGTGTGTAAATTTCATGATAAATAGACTAAAAGAAATGTGGCAAAATTACTTGGCAAAAACTCTGGTTCTATTGACTTACATTACAGGAAAAGGAAAAAACATACTTTACTTTTAAAGTTACCATTTTGAAGATTAGACTAGGACTAGGTTTTGATCAAGGTTTTGATATATATGTATATCTTCTGCCCGATGACCACTGGGACCCAGTAGGAAAATTGGCTTAGGAAATCAACACAAACATGGAATTTGACTAGGGGTGCCCAAACTTTTGCATAGATAGATAGATACTTTATTGATCCCAAAGGAAATTTAGCAATATGCATATGCAATATATTAGTTTCAGTAATTTTGTACATCTCTAAACTCTGTTTTATTATTTGTAGAGCTGTAAAATTTAAACTGGTTAAAGTAGTTCAGATAAACGCTGCATTTGCACAGCAGGCCTGGCAAAATCAGACAGTAGCAGTGTGAAGGTTGGGAGAGTATCGATGTCTTATTAGTCTTATTATCCACTTTTTATCCTGACAAATTTTACTAGCACTAAATCTTTTACTTCAACTTTAGTAAGCTTGACTTGCAAATTTCACTTCATCACCAGTAGCAAAACTGCATTAGCTGTAAAAAAAACGGTCCTTCATATAATAACCAATGCAACTGTCTAAGCATTGGCCTTACTGTCAGGAAGTCGCAGGTTTGATCCACAGCGATGCCACAGCCATCCACAGCTGGGAATACAAGAGAGCGTAACTGTCCTCTTTCTCTCTCTCTGGGTGGGTCGGAGTCTTTCTCCTTTACGCAGCACAATGCTAGCCAAATGTCATCTATAAACTGACATAACAGATGTAGGTAGCATTGTTCACCACCAAGTGTGTTGAGCTGTCCAGTGCCATTGCGTTAGCCACAGTTTGAAAAGATGTGGGGGGAACTTCACACGTATCAGAGGAAGTGTGAACTAGCCTTGACTGTAACAGCTGGGTAGCATCACGTGATAGGACAGACCTAGCTAGCAGGTAGAACTGGATACAACTAAACTGTGGGAAAATGTACCTCTAATAAATAAAATAACTGAGCCACTCTGTGGGAAATGAAAACTTTAACCAATGCTACCTCTGTTGTGAAGATGCTTACTGCGCCGCTGTAGACTCAGAGAGGGAACCCCCCACCTTCTGATGAACCTGAAGATGGGAGGAGCTTTTGGAAAACTACACCAGCTTTGGGCTGGATTTTTTGGGAGCTGTTTTGAAATATTTGGTTTGGTTGTATTTGTTAGCATATAGATCAGTGGCTAGCAGTCAGAATTGGTTGACACCGCAGAGATTCTTGATGTATTTGTGTAATGCATGCTGGGTAATGTAGTGAGAGAACCCTGGTGAACAAAAAACAAAGGCTGAGGGTTACAGTACTGCACTATAGAGTACTGTATAACATGACAAAAAACTTATCAAACTACATATTAAAGCATATACTACATCCAAAATAGTAATGATGATGACGATGATGATGATGATGTCCTGTCCTGTGTCGTAGCTGATGACGAAGCACCCTACAAAGCGGCTGGGCTGTGGTCTGGAGGGTGAGCGGGACATTCGGGAGCATGCATTCTTCCGCCGGATTGACTGGGAACGCCTGGAGAACAGAGAGATACAGCCTCCATTCAAACCAAAAGTGGTGAGTGACCCCAAGCCAGATTTCATAAAACGAAGACTGACACATTCTGATCTGTCTGATCACACAGACGGCTTGAATAACTCTCTGTTACTGGGCTTGACCTTTTCTGGATTTGTTAAGGCCTTTTGCCATTGCAGTAGGTCTAGCAGAATGCAGCTGATTATTGATTCAGGATTTGATCTGTTTTCTGTCTGTTAAGTCGAGATGTCCTGATTGGAAGAGTCTGTATCGGAATCAGGCCATACTCATATCCTTCATTAAGACAATTTCACCCCGTTTAGCCACTGTGATAGTGGTGATATTAATGGGTGTTACCCACACCTGCGGTGGCAAGTGTGTTTTCAGAAGTGAACAAGCAATCGTCGCAGCTACCTTCTTTGGTATGGACCACTCAGATCCTTAGTACAGTCTGTTTTGAGTGGACTCTGTCATTGGAGGACTTTGAAATATAAAAAGAGTATTGAACATGCCTAGGTTTAAATGGGAATTACTCCAGTTTTACAAAATTGCTGCATAACCCAATGGCTGGAATGCTAGCAAAGTCATTCAGAGTGATTTGATATGAGACAGTTCATCATAGAGAAACTTACCGACTCACTCACTTTTTACAGTGGTGGTGATAGGAACCAGGGGTCAGGTGGTCTACAATGCAAATATAGCCATTTTTTTATATCCAAAGCCACCAGTAAACGTACACGTCTTCTGAGTTTTTATATGCAAAGTTGATAATGATAAAATAGCAGAACATCTCAAAACTGTTGTAAAACAATGTCTCAGGTGTCAGGAAACATTTTCATAACCACTTTCTTGTAATTACTTTCTGTGAGGGAGTTTTTAGAGGCAGATGTCTGGTTCATATCACCAACATTGTGAACTGTTCCGACCTGGTAATGGCACCCTGAATGAGTTTGTTTACATCTTAGCTATTTACTTATACAGAATAGTTGATATTTGTCTTTAATGCATTTGAAATGTACGCTATGCAGTATTATCTACAAAAATACAAATTCTAGTTTCTCAGAGCGGGAATGCTGATCTAGGATCAGATTCCTCTCTAAATTTACCTTGACTTTAATGACAGGAGCAGATCCCAGATCATCAGTCCTACTCTGAGAATCTTTGTAAGGCAAAAAAGCTTGATACGAACATTCCTGCTGAAAATTATTATGGCTTTACATGATGGTGTACACAAATTCCTGTTGGATTTTGTGGGTAAATCTGGGGAAATATTGCTCTCTCAAGTGCACTTCTTTTCATTGTCCATCTATGGACTAATGTGCACTGTGACTGATAAGCTATCTTCTATTCTGCGCAGTGCTTTGTGGTTTTAAACATACATTTAAGTTGAAAAATCATTGCTGCCCTGAGTGCCATGGAAAAGTGTCATACATTGTGACCAATATTACAGCTGACTAATATCGAGGATGGTTTTTCTCTGGTCGCTGACATGGAGGAAAAGCTAGTTGTGGCTGTTTTCGAACATAGAGAAATGTACATACTCTTGTCACAAAGATTTACACAAACTGAATGTGAAAAAAAAGATTTTCAGTTTATTTTTAAGTCAGTTTTCTGTTTAAAAAGGAATCTTCTGAAACCCTTTCATTTTAAAGGTGTTGTGCTGGTTGCACACATTCTTAGCCACAGTATTTTGGATCTTGCAGTGCTATTGTAAAAATCATCTGGGGAGACCCCCCCACTGCTCGTATTGACTTTCTGTCTTCATACCTGAAATGAAATAGTGAGGTTTTAGAGAAAGAGAGAGAGAGTCAGTGCACATATGAGGCCCGTGGCTCTGTGCCATGGCTCTGTGGGCTGGGCAGGTGTGTGTGCGTTTGAGTTAGTGCGTGTGCATCCGCCCATAAGCATCTGTCACAGTGAAAAATGCAGCAATCAAAGCATTAAAAAACAAGCCACCGCAAAAAGGGGTCAAGTGGCTGGACACAGGAATGATCGTCCTCAGAGCGTGCGTGTGTGCAGCTGTTCGAGACACTGTTTTGAGTGTGATATGTGTGTAAGGTAAGTGACCCAAATTAGCATAAAGGCAAGATACATGGCGTAGATTAGTCTGGGAGCATGAGCGGCGGCCAGCACCATCCATCTGCTGAGACGGAGAGCCAGCAGCAGCTTCAGAGCATTGCTGTGGTTTTAGGTGTGCACCCTCTAGCAGTTAGTTACCTGAATTTATTAGCAGGCCGGCTAAGACATCATAGCTAACTTGATTAAAGAAATGGAAAAATCTAATTTATACAGTTTTCCACTTTCCCCAGATGTAGTCGACCACCCAAAGTATGGTTAGTGCTGGAGCTACAAGGTAAACACTGGAAGTCAATAGTCACCCAAATCTTTTCAACAAGTATACCCCCAAACTTCTCTCAACCAACTCAAACCTCATTCAGGTCTTAATTAACCCTCTGGGGAACACAAACTCACCCGTGTGTCAAATTTGATGGTTCTAGTTTCTGTATCTTTGAGATGATACAGCACAGAAATACAGTTTAAACAGTTCCTGAATCTGTAGAGTCGACCTTTTCGTTCTGTCTTATTACAAGATCTTACATGACTCACATCCAGAGTTATGAGGCTATGAAGAGGGGCTGAGATACACGTCATCTGTCTCTCACTGTGTGGAACTGGTGGCTTCATGTCTGTCTACATTTTCTGTGAAATTGACCAAGGACACTCAGGAATTCACTAAGGACTGACCCATCACGCCGGAAACCCTTCATTCTTAATTCAGTCCACATCGGAGATGTGTTAAATGGCGTCCAAAGAGTTTACAGCCTCTGAAGTTGCCACAGCAGTTTTGGAAAGTAGCAATGAAGATAACAGAGCATTTTGATGAGAAACATATGGGTATCTTGTTATGTGCAAGTGTCTTTAAAGCCGAATTTTAGAAGATATGCAGAAAACAAGAAAATACCCTTAGACCCGGAGGGTTAATGTGGTGCGGACTAGTTGATGTGGTTTAGCATGACTTAGTGTAAACTTTAAAAAATGACCGCAGTGGGCAGACATTATAGACAGCAGGTACTGTGCCAAATTCCACCGTTCCTTCAACCTGCCAAGGCCTGAAGTCTACAAGACCTCTAAAGGTGCATGGTGGGATCTGGCACTAAGACCAGCAGATCATTCAAGTCCTGTTAGTTTTGAGGTGGAACAGCTACGGATCAGACTTGTTGTTCCAGCAGATCCCACAGATGCTTGATCGGATTGAGAATTTGGAACCAAGAGCAACACCCTGAACTCTTTGCATGTTCATCAAACCATTTATGAACAATGTGTGCAGCATGGCAGGCCACACTATCCTGCAGAAAGAGGCCACTACCATCAGGGAATACCATCATCATGAAGGGGTGTACTAGGTCCACAACGACATTTAGCCAGGTGGCATGTGTCAAATTGACGTCCACGTGAACACCCGGACTTCCCAGAAGAACATTGCCCAGAGTGTCACACTCCTTCCACCATCTTATCCTCTTCCCAGAGTGCATCCTAGTGCCATCACTTCCCCAGGTAATCTACATGATGTAAAAGAAAATGGCTCTCATCGGACCAGGCACACTTCTTCCATCGCTCCGAGGTCCAGTTGTGATGCTCACATGAAGAGTAGTTAGCATGACTGCTCTATACAACCCTATAGGCAGCAGTGCAAGGTACTATGTGTGTTGTGACACAATCCTTCCGTAACTGTATCCAGACCAGACTGGATAGCCTTCATTACCCTCACACATCGATGAGCCTTGATTACCCAACACTCTGTTGCACCCCACAAGCATTGCCATTTCGGAGAAGCTCAGATCCAGTCATCTGGCCATAAAGATCTGGCCCATGTGAGAGTCACTCAGGTCTTCATGCCTTTCCATTTCTCCTGCATTTAAACACGCTGACTACACTGTATCATTTATATTTTGCCAGATCATGAAGAACTCATTGAGTTAGTCGTTTAATGAGTCATTTTAAATAGAAGCCGACTCGTTAGTTGCTAATCAACCCAAGTCTGAAGTCACGTCATGCCCTGAAACTGCAGGTCTGGAACTGCTGGCTTTCCAGGGTCTGCAGATGGATGCCTGGAGTTTAGTACGCAGGTGGTTTTCGTTCTAAATGTGAGCGCCCAGCTGGTGCAGACAGATAGTGCTCTAATCTCTGGACATCTTCAGACAAATGTGTTCCACACATTGCAGCCAGGTGGCTTTCTGTGATTTCTACACTAATACAATCATTTTCTGTATTTCTCTCATGGGCTCTGTATGACTGAATCTCCTCAATCACGCCGCATACAAAATACATTAATCAAATGTTGGCAAAAGATAAAATTTAACCCAAAGATAGATGATCAGCCAGGACATGTTTGGTGTCTGGAGTTTGCTACTGTAGGGTTACACTGAAGCAACAAGGCTAGTGTAGCTAACAAGTAACAGGAGCTTATGTAGAAAGGTTAGCGATTTTGCTAACTTCATACATCATCACACACCAGGTCTCGACAAATTTCAAAAGTAAAGATGGCTGCTTCTGCTCTATTTAGCTAGTGTGGTGTACTTTTATGTTTATAGGTATCTAAATTGAGGATGTGTGTGGATACTCGAGTACTCAGATAACCATACGAGGTGCTTTAAATCACTATTTGGATTTGGATACTCGTTACGTTTAATCACTGAAAGTCAAGGAAAACCAACAAGTGAAATGCTAATTTTATGTTGTAACAGAACTGAAAAATGTGGCGAGTTTGCTTGGGAGTAAGTATATTTCGCTCTGCTAGTACGAAGCATGAATGCCTTGATGTAAGCGCCTTGATAAGGACTCAACTGAGACGGCTTCTCTTACAAACTAACATGTCGGCTAACATCGTCCACCTGATGAAGAAGACGACGAGTCCTCTTCAGCATCCAGTGATGTACTGAGCTCTATTAGCTCATTAGCTCATCTGAAGAGGCAGCCTCCATTACTCGCCTAATACAAAACCCTACCTATTTCAATCGCTTTAGTTGAAATGCACAACCTAA